CCACGGGCCGCAGCCATGCTGACCAGGCGCCCCAATCCTTGTTGCTTCGCACCTCCGAGTCAGTCGGCCACGGCGCTCCGACTCAGACACCGCCGCGGTTTGCCAAACTTGACTTCGCCAGTTATGACGGCACGGAGGACCCCCTTAACTGGCTCAACCAGTGCGAGCAGTTCTTTCGCGGGCAACGCACCCTTGCCTCGGAGCGTACCTGGCTCGCCTCTTACCACCTCCGCGGCACGGCACAGACCTGGGACTATGCCCTCGAGCAGGACGAGGGCAACATGCCCCCTTAGGAGCACTTCCGCGAGCTCTGCCTTCTTCGTTTTGGGACACTGATCCACGGGAGCCGCCTGGCAGAGCGAGGCCGCCTTCCCTTCACCTCCATGGTTCAGGACTTCGCCGACCGTTTTCAGGCCCTCGCATGCCATGTGTCGGGCGTGACGGTGCAGCAGCGGGCCGACCTCTTCGTCGGTGGACTTCCGGATCACATCCGCGTGGACGTGGAACTTCGGGGACCCCAGGATCTCCAGACGGCCATGTACTACGCCCGTGCGTTCGAGCGCCGCGCGGTGGCCATCTAGCAGGCATCACCGTTTCGGGCCGCTACCCGGGCCGGATGTTCCCACGCAGGGTCGGCCTGCTCAGGCTTCCGCGGCACCCCTCACCGCGACCGCGGTGCGCCCGTTCCGCCGACTCACCTCGGCCGAGCTACTCGAGCGTCGCCGCCAAGGGTTGTGCTTCAACTGCAACAAGCCCTACACGCCCGGCCACGTCTGCCCGCGACTCTTCTACCTGGAGGCTGCAGACTACATTGAGGAGGACGCCGTCCCTGCCGACCTGACTGCTCCAGCTATCACGAAGGTGTTTGACGCTGGTTGATCACCTCGAGGAGTTCGGCAAGTGCTTTCCCACCTTACAGCTCGAGGACGAGCTGTTTGTGCAGGCGGGGAGAAGTGTTATGACCATCATATTAGGGGCTTAGCCCAGTGGGTTGTGGCCCAAGTTATCTTGTCGTTATTAGGGGCTTAGCCCCATTATCTTATCGTTTGCTTAGGAGTCAAGTAAACCTCTCTATATAAGGAGAGGAGATGTATCAATCTAATCAAGCAAGAAGCAATCATTATTTGCTCGGCTTCCCTTAGGGAGCCGGGAGACCTAACCCTAGCCGCCTCTTGCGCCACCGCCGCCTCTTCTCCACCACGCAAGGACGGCGCCCAGCCGCCGGCCGCCGCGCCCTCGTCCTCGTCCTCCTCCATCTTTCCCCTACAATCTCCTCCCTAGAACCGGCAGAACCCTAGCTCCTAACAATCTATGAAAGGCCGAACTTCATTGACCACTGAAACGGAACAAGGATGGTCTATGTAGATCAGTGCAGATTCTGTGGTCATAGGCAAGCTTATGAGCAGCTGACTACAATGCCTCATGCAAGAAAGAACCTCGAACTTATCTGCAGCCATCAAGATGTCGAGCAGACGAGTGGGCTCAGCTATAGTCAACTTTCCACTGTACATATAGCTTAAGAGCTCCATAAAAGCATTTTCCTTTGTTTCAAGTAGAATGAGAACATAATGCATAAGGATTACAGAAATAGTTAGCCGAAGTAAACAGAAAAAGGACACACTTATGTATCTTAAATGATTATTTAAGTTGATAATTGACTTTCAATATCGAGAAAGCTCCATGGGAGACTGACTTTTTCTTCATCATAGAAGACACAAAGAAGTGGCAAAAACTATCTATGAAGCATAGACATAAGTTGGCGAAAGTCTCGTACCCTTCTAGGGTTTCTCTCTCTCTGCGGCGACAGCCAAGGAGATTTCTCCCTCCCTTCGATTCCAATCAGACCACGTCTAATCGGGTTCCCGGGGGAGTAGTACGGAAGAACAGAAGGCGATCACAACCCCTGGGAGGGTTTCGAGCGGATGAGGTCCGAACGATGGAGAAGGGTACTTCACCTAGGGTTAGTGGCGGCGGGGAAGAGATGGAAGGAAAAGAGGTGATGGAGGAGACGGGATCGGTGGCGGGGGAAGGTAGATCGCAGCATGAGGAGTCACTAGATGAGAAGCTGAAATACCTGAACCTAAGGGAAGACGAGGAGGAAGATGTGATCTTGGAGGAGGACCTGGAGGAGCCGGAGAAGGATGCTGAATTCATGGCGATATCTAGGGTTCATACTGCAAGAAAATTTAGCCATGGGGCCTTCTATGGAACAATGAGATCTGCATGGAATCTTGCACAAGAGGTGGAATTCAGAGCTATAGAGGATAATTTGTTCTCTGTGCAAATCGCATGTCTAGCGGATTGGGAGAGGGTTATGCATGATGGGCCTTGGATTTTCCGCAACTGTCCAGTGTTAATTGCTCCGTACGATGGGTGGTCGGAGCCAACTGAGGTGGATCTGAATACCTACCAGGCATGGGTGAGGGTGATGGGGTTGAAGGAAAAGATGAGAAGTGCGAATATAGCGCGACAGTTGGCAACGAAGGCGGTGGAATCAGAGTACGTGTTACTCTGGACGTGCGTAAACCCCTCACAAGGTGTGCTAGCCTAACCTTGAGATGCGTCAGTCTCGGGCAGTTAGAGCACTTCTGGAGGTCCAGAGGTGCTACAAACCGGATGTGCTCTTTCTGTCAAAAGCACATCTGTCTGACGCAGGGGCAGAGTGGCTGATGAGGAGGCTAGGGTTCCAGGAGAGGCTGGTTGACCCGAGTGATGGAAGGGCGGGGGGTTTGCTGATGATGTGGAAATCTGGAGTGACTGTGACAAAAAATGATGTTACAGCCAACTTCATTGACGTAATGGTGGATGATGGAAGTGGCGGTGTACTGGATTTTATGGAGAGCCGGCAAAGGAGAATAAACATAAATCATGGGAATATCTTCGTGCACAGCAGGAGAGGATGGATGAGCCATGGATAGTTTTTGGCGATTTCAACGAAATCTTATTCTCTCATGAAAAGGAAGGAGGGGCACCCAGAGAGATGCAAGCATTAAGGGATGTCCTGTCAGAGTGCGAGTTGGCAGATTTGGGTGCAACGGGAGACTCATATACATGGAGTAGAGGGAGGATAAAGGAAAGGTTGGATAGAGTTGTCTGTAACTCACGGTGGAATTTGCTCTTTCCTAATGTTGGTGTCGTGAATGGTGAAATGACAAAATCTGATCATCGTCCCTTGGTGATAGATACTGAGCTCTATAAAGAAACGAACCGGCCCCTACGGCCGGTGAAGAGATTTGAGGGGAGGTGGTCAAAGGAGGAGACGGTGGAGGAGGTGGTTCGCACGGCCTGGCAGCAAGCATCATTGCTAGGTCTAGGGCCGTTCAAACAAAAGGTGGACTCGGTTCATGAGGAGCTGCATAAATGGGATAGAGAGACCCTCAAAAGACCTCAAATGCGAATGGCGAAAATGAAAAAGGAGTTGGAAGAACTGAGAAGAGGGCCGGCTACTGATGTAGCACTTGATAGACAGGAGATACTGCTGGTGATTGAAAATCTATTAGAGCAGGAAGAAATTGCATGGGTCCAGAGAGGAAGAGCTAACTGGCTGAAGCATGGTGATCTGAATACTTATTTCTTCCATATGTATGCTTCGGCAAGGAAGAAGAGGAACATGATTAAGGGATTGCAAGATGTGAATGGAGTGATGCAGGAAGGACAACAGGAGATAGCTGAGATAATTAAAACCTACTTCACTAACTTGTTTTCTTCCCAGGTTGAGCTCCCTAATGAAGAGGTTTTTCGGGATGTGACGCCGAGAGTTACAACTCAAATGAACGAGGCCTTACTGGCGCCCTTCACGGAGGAGGATGTACGCAAGGCTGTGTTCAGTATAGGTGATTTTAAGGCACCAGGACCAGATGGACTTCATGCGGCTTTTTATAAGAGGTTCTGGAACATGTTAAAGGATGATCTAGTGGGAGAAGTTCTGGGGGCAATTAACACACGCACTATCCCAGAAGGGTGGAATAGTACTACTATAGTGCTGATCCCAAAGGTTGAGAACCCCACAAGTGTCTCACAGTTTAGGCCGATTAGCCTGTGTAACGTGGTCTACAAAATCATCTCCAAAATGCTTGCTTCTCGGCTTAAAGTGATACTTCCGGAGATCATTGGTCCCACGCAGAGCGCTTTCGTTCCGGGAAGATTGATCACGGACAACATACTAATTGCGTACGAGTGTGTGAACACTACAAAGAGGAAGAAAGGCAAGTCTGGCTTATGTGCAGTGAAACTCGATATGCATAAGGCATATGACCGAGTAGAATGGTGTTTTCTTAAGAGGATGATGCAAAGGCTTGGGTTTGCGGAACAGTGGACATAATTGATCATGGAGTGTGTATCATCCGTGTCATATAATGTCAGATACAACTCTGAGAGCACTGATGTTTTTGCGCCAACACGTGGGCTGCGACAAGGGGACCCCTTGTCCCCCTACCTGTTTCTAATCTGTGCGGAGGCGCTATCTAGCATGTTGCAGGCGGAAGAGAACAATGGCACATTGATAGGGGTCAAGGTGTGTAGGGAGGCACCGCAGATTTCTCATCTGCTCTTCGTTGACGACTCCTTAATTCTTATGAGAGCAGATGGCCCAAATGCGGCGTGCCTCCAAAGGGTGTTGGACGATTACTGTACGAGCTCCGGACAGTTGGTCAGTGAGGCGAAATCTAGTATATACTTCAGTCCAAACACCCCGGTGGAGAAAGTTGTGATATGTCAACAACTGAATATTAACACGGAAGCCCTTAACGATAAATATCTTGGGCTACCATCCATGGTGGGAACGGACAGGAGTGACTCTTTTGAGTATCTCATCGACAGAGTAAATCAGGTGATGATAGGGTGGAAGGAGAAGCTGCTTTCCACAGGGGGGAAAGAAACGCTAATTAAGGCTGTTGCCCATGCCATGCCGGTGTTCACGATGTCTGTATTCAAAATTCCGAAGAAAATTTGCAAAGGAATAACGAATGCTATATCGAAATACTGGTGGGGAGATGACGACAACCATAAGCGTACCCATTGGGCAGCATGGTGGAAAGTGTGTATACCGAAAGAAAGGGGAGGTTTGGGATTCAGGGATCTACACAGTTTTAACTTAGCTCTCCTTGCTAAACAAGTTTGGAGGCTGCTTGAGAACCCTGATTCTCTTTGTGCTCAGGTTTTGAGAGCCAAATATTATCCGGATGGAAAGCTACTGGATGCCAAGGTGAAAAGTGGAAGCTCGTATACATGGCAGAGTATATGTGCCGGTATCAATACATTCAGGAGAGGGGATATATGGCGCATAGGTGATGGATCACAAGTGAACATTTGGGCTGATTCGTGGATACAATTGAGTGCCGATGGCCGTGTCACTACACCACGAGGAGGGACCCTTCTGTCTAAGGTTTCGGAGTTGATTGATCATGTCACTGGTTTATGGGATGAACAGTTGATAAACGATGTATTTTGGCCGGTTGATGAGCATAGGATTCTTGCCATACCGCTGGCACCACATGGGATGATGGAAGATTTTGTGGCCTGGCGGTTTACAAGGAACTTTGCCTTCTCGGTCCGATCAGCTTATCATGTGGAGTGGCAACATCAATTTGCACGCTGGTATGAACGAACAGAGGGGCAGCCGTCCCAGCGTTATCCGGTGTGGAAGAAGCTCTGGTCTTCGCCCGCCCCAGCTAAGATTAAGATCTATGCTTGGAAGGTCTTACATGGATTCATACCATGTTACGAGGTATTGGCAAAACGCCATATTGATACGTCAGACAGCTGTCCCATGTGTGTGGGTGGATGCGAAGATATTATGCACGCTCTCTTCACTTGCCCTAGGGCAGCCGAAGTCTCAGATGTCTGAATCTTTACGGGTTCGTGGAGGAGGCGTGTGATACAGACAGGGCGGGCTCGCAGCGTTGGACTATATTTTATGTGCTCCTACACGCCAGACGTTGATCCAAGATATCCCAGCTCAGTTTCTAATCCTTGTGGGTATCTGGTACATATGGTGGGAGCGTAGACAACATGTCCACGGGGAGGAAGTGCAGACTCCGGTCCGAGCCGCGTTGTTAATCGCAGCGATGGCAGCAAATTACCTCAAGGCTACGAAGAAGAACGTGGTAGTAAGATCCTTTGGATGGAGGAAACCGCAAGAGAATTTTGTCAAGTTAAATGTAGATGCTGCTTTTCATGCAGATGACCTCCAGGGAGCTGTAGGAGCTGTGCTAGGGGACTGCAGAGGTGGTTTCATTGCAGCTTCAAATGAGAGGCTGGAGCATGTTGCTGATGTAGGGACGGCGGAAGCACACACACTACGGCATGGCATCTTGTTAGCGCAGCGGATGGGGATCACCAAGTTCATTGTGGAGTCCGACTGCCTTGAGGTGATTGACATCATGAACAATGGTGGTTTTATGGCATCGGGCGCAGCTACGATCTATTCGGATTGTTTGGTCCTTATCATAGGTTATACTTCGGTGTCTTTTGTTCACTGCCCTAGAGAGACAAACTCTGTCGCTCATGTTTTAGCTAAGCAAGCGGTGTCGGATCCACCTTCCGTGTGGATTGAGGAGCCGCCGGCCTTCATTGTAAAGGGCCTAGTGGATGATGTAACTCTGTTTTGATCCAATAAAAGTTTCCTGAAGTTTTAAAAAAACTATCTATGAAGCATAATCCTTCGTTTACCATAAATATTCATGTTTTTCTTTCAAAATTATAGAAAACAGTAACACAGTCACTACAGCAAACTAGAATAAATTATAAGAGGAAGAATGTTACACTTTAGCTATCACCTTACCTGAATCAGTAATCCTAATTGTTGGATTCGTCTGATCAGATTCTTTCATGCCATTTGAGAAAAACTAAGAAGGATGAAGCTTATTAGAAACTTCCACTGACTAGAACAAATGCAGTTCACAACAAGGTTATCGAAATTACCTTTAGAAAGAAAGGACTTCTTGAAGCAAGAATCGCTGAATTGATATGCATGTTTTTTTCTCGTAAAAGTGGTCTGCCCACCATCATCGATGAAGAGTCAACACTCTGTTCTTTCTCACCTGCAAAGTATTAGATAAAAGAAATAAAAAACACATTGGGTAATATATTCTACTGTCAAAAAACTCAGAACACTGTATTTTTCTGTAGGTGTAGATTCATGTAATCAATATTCAGAAATAGGATAAAATGGTCATCCAACAATCTGACCATGCTTGTAGCTCTCATAGATGTAACTGACTAACTGCTATCTAATGAGCAGTTCATACTGCACATGCATCTAGTAGCACAAGCAAGTTCAAGTAGCTAAAATAGAAACAAGGTGTTAAATAAGAACTTGTGGTTATCTCTGTATTTTCTGCAAGCACCAGCCTGTAACCAATAATTAGCGTGTATTGAGACAACAGGCAACCAAAGGCTCCCTTTGATTAGCAGATTGTGCAAAAACTATACCTGCATCCGCATGAAGTTTTTTGTTTTTACCACGCAAGCTAATGATAACCAATGTTTCAACACTAAGAAAAGCGGAGATGGAAAAAAAATGCAGACTAATGTTGACCTGGAATTGAAGGATTGAAGGTTATGAAGCAGTTTCTTCTTCACTTCAGATACAGCTAGCTGTTACATCAAGAGCAGACCTGATAACAATATGGTATTCCATACCTATTTGTTCTGTTGCTATATTAAGAATAAAAATTGGCAGATCTATTGTCGTAAGTACTGACTAGTGAACACACAATAATTTCCCTTTTGAATTATCTGACATGTCCATGCCCCATGGTAACTCAGTCAAAACAAGTTTAATTCGAGATCTCTAAATTTTCCCACAGACAAATAATTTTGAAAAAACTAACTATAGGAAATTAATGCCTTCTCCAGATGCTTTGTGACAAACTGTACCGAGAACTATAATGTGAAGACTGAAGGTTTAAAATCGAAAGAGAACAACAGGTTAGTAGAATTCTCAGGTTCAGCTGGCAAGCACCTTTCAAGTTTTCCGAGCTGAACAGTGGTTACAGTGGTGCCCCTTTGTTGTCCAGTGGCCAATCTCAATTAGAACTGGATTGATTTTCAATTTTCATTCAATTTTGGGGGTAATCCAGCCGTGGACTTACATTATTTGAACATAAAAAAATGTTAACATCAGCTACATCCATAATAGTTGTATTCGAGAAAATAAAACATCCATGATAGTTACAACATTTTAATAATCTGTTAATAGCAGCTACATACGCACCTTCCTCTTCGCGGCGGCGCTCCTGGTCGGCGGCGGATCCTCCGCCAGATCCCGGCGCGGGGCTGACGGTGCCGATCTCTATCCGCAGCACCCTGTCGGAGAAGGTGGCCGAATCGAACGCGAAGTCGAAGCTGGGCACCACGCCGCCGCGCGACAAGTCCAGCTCCATCGCCGATGCCACCCCCGCCCCCGCCGCCATCGCTGATGCTGATTCTTTGCCGGCGTCCATGCCCTCCGCCGCGTGCGGGAGAGAGAGGGACGAAACGCGGGGCGGCGGCCGGCCGTAACCTAGCCGCCGAAGCTTCTCCGAGAAGACGAGAAAGCGAGGCCAGCGGGTATCAGACTTTGCAAACAGGACCCTCGGAAGTCGGAAATGCTAAATTACATTTACGGGCGCGCTCTCTGGTTTGAAATGCAAAACACCATGTCTACTTTCAACTTACAAATCACATTTGAGTATTTGTTAACGAATAAATCAAGTTTTTTAGCCTCAAAAACTAGAGTTGTTTTCCTCTCCAAGATATAGCTTGCTTAATTTTCATTTTTCTAGAATTATTTAGTTTTATTTTCTACTCCTGCAAAAGGAACATAGACAAGTACACACACCGAAAACATATCTAGTATTTGTGTTTTATGGCTTTTGGAGAAGATCTAGTGTTGCCAATAACATACGGCCCAACTCCCGACACTTCTTTCTCATGAAAGATGGAGGCGATAGCCCTTCAACCTTTAATAGGTCGGCGAGCTTGTGGGTTCCCCTTTCCTTTATCTGGCTCTGACGATGGGAGGAGGGGAATCTTGTTTCTTGCGTCGGGCATGTAGAGAGCGGGTAGGACTAGGTATTTTGGTGGTGCCGCTACCGAGGTGGGGGCGGCACTCCATCAAATAATGTCTATTGCAACTACCTCCTCATATTCGAGGGAGGGGGAGTGGGCGGCCATCTCTCGCTGAGTCGAGGGGCTAGCTGCTAGAATTTCTCATTCCGGCCTCTAGGAGGTGGCAGTAACGTCGCCTTGATCCCCCCCCCCCTCTAACTTTATCCTTAATATAGCCGTCGCTGATGTTGATTCTTTGCCGGCGTCCATGCCCTCCGCCACGTGCAGGAGAAAGAGGGACACAACGCGGGGTGGCGGCCGGCCATAACCTAGCCGCCGAAGCTTCTCCGAGAAGACGAGAAAGTGAAGCCAGCGGTATCAGACTTTGCAAACAGGACCCTCGGAAGTAGGAAATGCTAAATTACATTTACGGACACGCTCTTTGGTTTGAAATGCAAAACACCATGTCTACGTTCAACTTACAAATCACATTTGAGTAAGTATTTGTTAACGAATAAATAGAGTTTTTTCCCCTCAAAAAATAGAGTTGTTTTCCTCTCGAAGATATAGCTTGCTTAATTTTCATTTTTCTAGGAATTATTCAGTTTTTTTTCTGCTCCTGCAAAAGGAACATAGACAAGTACACACCGAAAACATATCTAGTATTTGTGTTTTATAGCTTTTGGAGAAGATCTAGTGTTGCGAATAACATATGGCCCAACTCCCGACACTTCTCTGTCTCATGAAGATGGAGGTGATAGTCCTCCGACCTTCAAAGGTCGGCGAGCTTGTGGGTTCCTCTCTCCTTTATCTGGCTCTAACGATGGGAGGAGGGGAACCTTGTTTATTGCGTCGGGCATGTAGAGAGTGGGTAGGACTAGGTATTTTGGTGGTGCTGCTACCGTGGTGGGGGTGGCACTCCATCAAATAATGTCTACTGCAACTACCTCCTCATATTCGAGGGAGGGGGAGTGGGCGGCCATCTCTCGCTGAGTCGAGGGGCTAGCAGCTAGAATTTCTCATTCCGGCCTCTAGGAGGCAGCAGTAACGTCGCCTTGATCCCCCCCCCTCTAACTTTGTCGTTAATGTAGCCGTCGCTGATGCTGATTCTTTGCCGGCGTCCATGCCCTCCGCCGCGTGCGGGAGAGAGAGGGACGCAACGCGGGGTGGCAGCCGGCCATAACCTAGCCGCCGAAGCTTCTCCGAGAAGACGAGAAAGTGAAGCCAGCGGTATCAGACTTTGCAAACAGGACCCTCGGAAGCAGGAAATGCTAAATTACATTTACGGACGCGCTCTTTGGTTTGAAGTGCAAAACACCATGTCTACGTTCAACTTACAAATCACATTTGAGTAAGTATTTGTTAACGAATAAATAGAGTTTTTTCCCCTCAAAAAATAGAGTTGTTTTCCTCTCGAAGATATAGCTTGCTTAATTTTCATTTTCTAGGAATTATTCAGTTTTTTTTCTGCTCCTGCAAAAGGAACATAGACAAGTACACACCGAAAACATATCTAGTATTTGTGTTTTATGGCTTTTGGAGAAGATCTAGTGTTGCGAATAACATATGGCCCAACTCCCGACACTTCTCTGTCTCATGAAGATGGAGGCGATAGTCCTTCGACCTTCAAAGGTCGGCGAGCTTGTGGGTTCCTCTCTCCTTTATCTGGCTCTGCCGATGGGAGGAGGGGAACCTTGTTTATTGCGTCGGGCATGTAGAGAGCGGGTAGGACTAGGTATTTTGGTGGTGCTGCTACCGTGGTGGGGGTGGCACTCCATCAAATAATGTCTACTGCAACTACCTCCTCATATTCGAGGGAGGGGGAGTGGGCGGCCATCTCTCGCTGAGTCGAGGGGCTAGCAGCTAGAATTTCTCATTCCGGCCTCTAGGAGGCGGCAGTAACGTCGCCTTGATCCCCCCCCCTAACTTTGTCGTTAATGTAGCCGTCGCTGATGCTGATTCTTTGCCGGCGTCCATGCCCTCCACCGCGTGCGGGAGAGAGAGGGACGCAACGCGGGGCGGCGGCCGGCCATAACCTAGCCACCGAAGCTTCTCCGAGAAAACGAGAAAGCGAAGCCAGCGGTATCAGACTTTGCAAACAGGACCCTCAGAAGTAGGAAATGCTAAATTACATTTACGGGCGCGCTCTCTGGTTTGAAATGCAGAACACTATGTCTACGTTCAACTTACAAATCACATTTGAGTAAGTATTTGTTAACGAATAAATAGAGTTTTTTTCCTCAAAAAATAGATTTGTTTTCCTCTCGAAGTTATAGCTTGCTTAATTTTCATTTTTCTAGGAATTATTCAGTTTTATTTTCTACTCCTGCAGAAGGAACATAGACAAGTACACACACTGAAAACATATCTAGTATTTTTGTTTTATGGCTTTTGGAGAAGATCTAGTGTTGCCAATAACATATGGCCCAACTCCCGACACTTCTGTCTCATAAAGATGGAGGTGATAGCCCTTCAACCTTTAAAAGGTCGGCGAGCTTGTGGGTTCCCCTCTCCTTTATCTGGCTTTGACGATGGGAGGAGGGGAACCTTGTTTCTTGCGTCGGGCATGTAGAGAGCGGGCAGGACTAGGTATTTTGGTGGTGCCGCTACTGTGTTGGGGGTGGCACTCCATCAAATAATGTCTACTGCAACTACCTCCTCATATTCGAGGGAGGGGGGAGTGGGGGGCCATCTCTCGTTGAGTCGAGGGCCTAGCTGCCAGAATTTCTCGTTTCGGCCTCTAGGAGGCGACGGTAACGTCGCCTTGAAATTTTTTTCCCCCCTGACTTTGTCCTTAATGTAGTTGTGAGTGCTCCAACACCATTGGGAAGCTCGGGAGGAGCTGTATAGAGGTGGCCAGCTAATGTCGTCCATGGTGAAAATGCTGACATTTGTTGGAAGATAGATGATCTAGGATATGACTTATGTGGAAGGCTAAAGGATCTTGTGGTCTCCTTCATCTGTTGGAAGATAGATGATCTAGGATTTTGCAGCCAATGCTGGCAAAGCAAAAGAACTGTGATCATGTTGCGATGTATTGATGATATGTACCATCTTCTCCCCTTCGACACATGTTTTGGCGACGTCGAAGGAGTGAAGCTCATAGATCTCTAGGGACAAGTGTCTTGCTTCCTGAGCATTTTCTAGTGTTGTGTCCCGTGTCAAGGAGATCATTTGATGTAGTTCGTTACTTTCGTCTATAGTTTGTCAAACTTTGTAAACACCATGGAGGACTTTTTAGTAACAAAAGAAGACATTGTAAACACTGTACTTTTCCTGTTGTGTTCATCTTAGATAGGCGCGTATGCTTGATCCATGAGATTATCATCACACTGGATGTAAAAGAGATAGAAAGCAACTGCCTCAGAAGAGTAAGGAAATCATTCGAAGACGAAAGCATCACCCTACGGCCGAACCATGGCACCGCCCGTTGCAGGCTTGAAAGAGGGCGGCAAGAGTCTTCAACTCTAGCTAGGTGTTTTTTCTTTTCACTTTTTGGGGAGATTGAACAAAGGCGACAAAACACCAAAGATCACTAGCTGACGGAGTAACTGAAGAACAATTATCGCAAATCATTTCGATATCTTGACGAGCGAAGGGCTCCGAGACATTCATCCGAGGATATCTTTGAGAAACTCTCAGTAATGTTCCTCTTTTGCAAAATTTTAGCTGAAAATATTTGGATCCAAGGATCAGGTGAATCCCAACTCTATCGGAAAAAAAAGTCAACCCCAACTTGATACAAGTGGTCGGGTAACCTTGAGGTCCCAGACCTTTTTTGGTAAAAGTCCAGATAATGGAACACAACATGTTCAGACACCCAGTAATGCCCCCAACTTTGGGGGGCGACATGGAGTAATAAGGAATCATCCTACCATATGGCATGAAACAAGACGGTATTTGCTTAACAAAAGCTTGACGACTACAATTAATCTTGAAGAAAAGTAAAGTGAGATCAAAGGGTCTACCACCCCGATTAATCTTGAAGAAATGTAAATTTCATTCTAAGAAGCCATGAGCCTCGGTCCATTCCTTGCATCCTTCACCTTCAGGCGCCAAAGTGTTTCCAGCAGAGACAAAAATAACGAAATTAAACTCAGGTTACGCACAGCCAGAATCCCAATGAAGCGACTGATGACGAACAGACGACTTAATAATAACTCTGTCGAGTGAGTGAGAAATCATATCAAGCGTGAAACTCCGTCTGCTGGACCGCCGCCAAATCAGCTCTCAGATGCAGCACACCGTCGATGAAGAGGTTGTCATCGGCAATGAACGCCGACCATGGAACGCCAAAAAGATCATCACATTTTTTCAACCAAGCACTGGTGAAGGTGTGCTTACAACTGTACTTGCTCACAAATTTTCCGGACGATCTTGTCCTTGCAGCAAACTCAATATCCACTGTCAAATCTGTGGAACCGAATCCAATTAACTGGAGACCAAAGGTGGACAACTTACTCTGCTCATTCATTGTACAGACTGGGCTGAGATAAATGCTCCCCTTCCACCCTGCAAGCCGGAAGTCATGTGACCATGCATGTCCAGACGGGAAGAGTCGGGAGCAGTCCTCGCGTGTTAGATCCAGGTAAGCGATAACCTGTGGGCAGGGTCGATCAAAAGTAACCAATTTCACAGGTTTGTACTTGTACTCTCGCTCAGTAAATTGCCAACAGGTTGTTGCGTCTGCTGCAAGAGCACCTTCCATCTGTTTTGGGTAAGCTTTTTGTAGAAGTACCTCAGCAATACGTTTAGTTACTTTCTCATGGTCTATATCATCATCGCTGCATGCTAGGATCTCCTGAAGTTTTGTACATGTCATATGACTGAAGCGTACCAGTGGCAGTAAACGAGAACTCAAGATCTCGCGTCTTTCCTCCAATTCTGGGTATCGTTCACGGGCCCATGTGAGCATAAAGGCATATATGCAATCTTCCCGTATTACTTGTAGGTCAGTACTTGACAAGATGGCTTCAATCCCAGCAAGAGGGAAGTTCATCAGTTCATGCTGGAACCTGAAAAGAGTTAAATCATGCAATTAGTACACCAAATAGATGATCTGCTACATCAATGTCTACATTTTTCTTAGAAAATGAAATAAAGCATGGCTCTATCAAATTGGGATCACCAACTTAGCAAAATCATTGTATTTGTTGGCAAGGAATTCCTTGGCTGCGCAGATCACACCCTCGACCTCAGCCGATAATGAAGTCGAGCAAGGGTGGTCTAGGTAAAGCAGTGCAGATTCTGTGGTCATAGGCAAGCTTGTGAGCAGCTGACTGCAATGCCCCACGCAAGAGAGAACCTCAAATTTGTCTGCAGCCATCAAGATGTCGAGCAATAGACTGGGCTCCGTTGGTGTCAACTTTCCGCTGTACATATATCTTAAAAGCTCCATAAAGGCATTTTCCTCTGCGTTCCAAGTAAATAAAAAAAATACATAAACATCAAGGAAAGAGCTAATAAAGAATTAAACAAAAAAAAGACAGCCTTTTGTATCCTACTCCCTCCGATAAAAAATAAGTGTCGTGGTTGAACTAAAACCACGACACCTATTTTGGATCGGAGTGAGTAAATGATTATAAGTTGAATGTTGACTTTCAGTACTAAGAAAAGTTTCATGGGAGACTAACCTTTTTCTTTATCACAGAAAATATAAGTATTAGAAATTAAGAAACATATTACCTCCGTCCTAAATTATTTCTCTTACATTTGTCTAGATACGGATGTACCTAACACTAAAACGCGTCTAGATACATCCGTATCTATACAAATCTAAGACAACTAATTCGGGATGAAAGGAGTAGTATTTTGTTTACTCGAAATATTCATAAAGATATAGGAACTATAAAAACTAGTATAACACAACCACAATAAAATTAGAATAAATTGTAAGATGCAAAATTTACCCTTTAGTATCACATTACCTGAATCAGCAATCCTAATTATTGGGTGCGTCTGATCAGATTCTTTCATGCCATTTGAGAAAAGCTGAGAAGCATGAAACTTATTAGAAACTTCAACTGGCTAGAAAAAATGTAGTTCACAGCAGGTTATCAGAACTACCTTTAGAAAGAAAGGACTTCTTGAAGCAAGAAGTCCTTTAGAAAGAAAGGACTTAATTGTTGGGTGCATCTGATCAGATTCTTTCATGCCATTTGAGAAAAGCTGAGAAGCATGAAACTTATTAGAAACTTCAACTGGCTAGAAAAAATGTAGTTCACAGAAGGTTATCAGAGCTACCTTCAGAAAGAAAGGACTTCTTGAAGCAAGAATTGCTGAATTGATATGAATGGTCTTTTCTCGTAAAACTGGTCTACCCACCATCATCGAGGAAGAGTCACCACCTGCAAAATACCAAAGATCAAAAAATAAAAATAAAGAACAAATTGGAAAAGTAAAATGTACGGAAATAGAAAGACCGAACATATATTCTTCTATTGAAATACTAGCAAGACTATGTTCTTCTATGTGTGATTCTTTTTGTGATCAATCTTCAGATAAAAGAAAAAAAATGGTTAAACAATGTGCAAAAATCAAAAACCATTTAGCTGCATCCAGCAATCATAGCATACAATACAAGGTGTCGAGGATATCCTCACTCTCTCGAAACAGGCTTCCACCCTGCTTTATAGAGAAAGTCACACGGCTGAACAATACAAGGTGTCGAGGATATCCTCATACAAGCTGATCAAGAGAAAGATGACGACAAAACAAGCCGGACACCGCAAACAAGAACCCAGGGGTGCACTACTAGGCGCCGCCGAGAAGAAGTGCATCAGAGGCCGGACCACCAAGGGTCACAACCAATGCCGATATCAAACCACGAACACGTACCACTTGGATGAAACTACCGGACTTCGCTGCAAAAACTCCAGCATGCTGCCGCTAGAGAGGACCCTCTACTGTCTCACTCCAGACCAAGTAGTGTCGACCCTGCCGGACAAGCAACCAAGACCTCAAGTTTGAAACACATTGTCACGTGCAAATGAAACGGGGCAAACGAGACCGCCAACCACTATAATCAAGGTTGGTCCAAGTAGCGCTCCAATTCCACCCGAACAGGCTGCCACGATCGGGGATCACCCAAACTCACCGACGATGCCCCTAAGAGGGACAAGACGCACAACGCTTCCGCCGTTGCATCCACCAGATATGGACAAGGGTTTTCACCCAGAGGGACGCCACACTTGCAAGCATCGTCATCATCGATGCGAAGGAACGGAGCTTTTGCTTGGCACCCCCACACACCTCGCTGAAGGGACCCAAGCTACCATGCCCCCCCCCCCGCCCCC